TCAAAACTCATACACGTGGCGTAAGATACTCATCAAGGAATTGTCAGAACCAAACAATGACTATGGGATCTGTATTGGTGGCCAGGGATGGACTCCTAAACTGAAGCAATCATCCTGTGTCACTTGACAAATGCATGGTAAGATGGTAGTCACATGTACCCCATCATTACAGCCTGTTCCTCTTCCTGATTCTGCATGGGAAAAAGTTGCGATTGACATCGTAGGATCCTTTGATACTGCTCCAATTGGTTGTCCACATGCCATCATTTTAATAGACTATTTCAGTAAATAGCCTGCAGTAACGTTTACATCACAAATCTCTTCTGCTACAGTAATTAAGTTCCTCTCTCCAGGTTTTAGCAGGGACGGTAACCCCAAAGAACTGGTTTCAGATAATGGTAGTCAATTTACTTCCCTGGAATTTGAATCTTTTCTAGCAGAGAGGAACATTTTACATAGAAGATCATCCCTGTATTACCCTCAAGCCAGTGGGGAAATGGAAAGGTTTAACAGAAGCTTGAAAGAGTTTGCAAACGGCTAAACTGGAAGAGCGATCATGGATAACCTTCACTACTGATTTCTTGCAAGTATACAGGGCTACAAACATGCCACAATGCAAAGATCACCCACAGAGTTAAAGCATGGAAAACAGATGAATACTAAACTGATCATTGCTGGATTGTTAAAGTCAAGATCTGATGTGCCAAAAGAGGATGATGTGAGAGAAACAGTTGAACAGAACCAAGCAAAGTATAAGGCTTTCACAGACAAATGGCGGGGTGCTAAGGAACTGAAGTTTGAGTGTGGTTCCTTTTGTTTGTGTAGAATTCCAGGTTTTCTTACTCTAAAGGAACCATAAAGTCACATCTTCTCTTAAAAATCATTAAGGGGGGCCTTGCACCTATGACTTTCTGATGGGCAGGTATGGAATGCTTCTTATCTTGCACCTGCCTATGCACCAAGAGGAGATGATGCCAACACCCAGTCAGTGTTGGACGACTTCCTCATAGTACCAACACAACAAGATAGCGCACTAGAAACAGGGTTTGAGAGACGGTCTGTCAGACCCAGACGACCACCTGTCTGGACAAGAGCGGGGCGTCGGGGAGCAGAGCCTGGCTAGCGGCGGGACGGTCATCTTGTGATGGGCCGGGGCTGCAAACTATGTTATGTAGTATTTACAGTGTTTTCAGTATAATATTTCTGCCAACAGTATAGTGCCTCTTTTCGTATTTGTTGCTGTGGTTAGAACAACAATGATTACTTTATAATTGGGAATAGTGATAGAGATGTAGCCGTGTTAGTCTGGTGTAGCTGAAACAAAATACAGGACTATGTAGCACTTTAAAGACTAACAAGATGGTTTATTAGATGATGAGCTTTCGTGGGCCAGACTGTTTGTGTAGAATTCCAGGTTTTCTTACTCTAAAGGGACCATAAAGTCACATCTTCTCTTAAAAATCATTAAGGGGGGCCTTGCACCTATGACTTTCTGATGGGCAGGTATGGAATGCTTCTTATCTTGCACCTGCCTATGCACCAAGAGGAGATGATGCCAACACCCAGTCAGTGTTGGATGACTTCCTCATAGTACCAACACAACAAGACAGTGCACTAGAAACAGGGTTTGAGAGACGATCAGGGTTTCAGACCCAGATGACCACCTGTCTGGACAAGAGCGGGGCGTCGGGGAGCAGAGCCTGGCTAGCGGCGGGACGGTCATCTTGTGATGGGCCGGGGCTGCAAACTATGTTATTTAGTATTTACAGTGTTTTCAGTGTAATATTTCTGCCAACAGTATAGTGTCTTTTTTCATATTTGTTGCTGTGGTTAGAACAACAATGATTACTTTATAATTGGGAGCACTTCTTAAGAGAGGCGGGAATGTGGTGTTGTTTTAGATTTAATACTGCTTGTCATTAGAACTGAGAGCACTGACTGTTGGGAGCCTGGAAGCCAGGTCCGTCCTTAAGCATACACAGAATACGCAGTTGCGTGGGGCACCACTATGCCGGGCCAAGGGACTCCAGCGAGGAGGCCGGCAAGCTGATCCTGGCTGGAGGAAGGGAAGCTGTCAACCCGGGCGGCAGCAGAGGGGCAGAACCAGGGCTGCTC